TTTTTTTCCAAACATTTCTCCAACAGCTGTAAATTTTTCCTTAATGCAGGATGCTAATAAAAGCCAGGTTACACCAAAACCACTGCCAGACTAGTGCTACTGGGAGGTGGTTGTTTTTAAGCTGCACCAAAGGAAAAATTTCAACCTCCAACTTGCTCATTACTTGAAGAAACAGAAGCATACCCCTGCCTTTGCCCTGTCCTGGGGGAGCTGAGATCAGATGTGAAGGCCATGTGGTGGACTTGGGAATGTTTGTTCAATCTCCTATTTCTTCTCCATTTTTCCACTATGAGTCCTTGCACTCCTGACATTGCATTTTGCTGATCGTAACCACAAGGTTTTGTTTTATGAGCTGTTACACCAGGAAAATGGTATTCTTTGCACCCTATTAGTTAAAACTTGTTTGTGACAGCAAAAGATCGGTAATTAATCACTCTATTACTCCCACTCCACACAGCACCCCAAGCATGACCAGCCTTGGAGTGCAAAAATAAACTCAGCCCCTACTCTTGGCAATTATATCAGAAACATAAAGCATACAACAAATAATCACGGAGAGGGAGGGTTTCTTTCAGCCTCCTCCACACCTTCTTTCTCTCCCCAGAGTCTTAAAACATACCTGAGTAGGTGTTTGTGTGCAGCTAATTGGCCTGAGGAACAGTATATCATAAATGGCCCATTGAATGATGAAGTGATTGAAACAAGATGCTAATTTTAACAGCTCAGCTTGGCTATGGCAATATCGGCTTACTGAAAAGGGGAGTCATGTCCACTGAGCCCCACTCAAACAGGTCCCTGCAGCAGGTCCAGCTTCCAAAAAATAGAAACCAACCTACCAACACAGCCTGGAACTGGAAGCTCAACTGAAATGCCCTTGATATACCAAAGACCTGAGCTCCAGGTATGAATTGCTGAGGTATTGCTGTGCAGTCTTGAATGCCTGGATACAGGCACACACACTGCTGCCTCAGCAAGACAGGGATGGATCTTGTGTTTTATCCCTACATACCCTTTTCTTGGCATAAGTGTGTTGTTCGTGATGTTAATGATGTTGAAGCATCAATACAGAAACAAATAAAGTAAAACCTGACTAGTGCTGTCAGTCTCCAAGCAAAACAGAGAGGGAAGGCATACAGATACTTTTTTGAAATGTGCTTTACCAGGATAAACAGTCAAGGGTTCCTTGGAATGCTAAACCTGTCCTGAATCCAACCTTTGAGTATTGCTGCCAGTTGTAGATCCATTTAGTTAATGTACTGGTGCACCAGAACTTAATTCAGCTTGCTGAGGAAGACCCAGTGTCGGGGTGCAGAGGGTCGTGGAATACAAAGAAGGAACAGAATCTGTATCCAGAATTTCATTTCATATCTTACATAGTCTTGCTAGTACAACTTTAGACGGTTACTTCAGCCTGTCTCCCAGGCTATACACCTGTGAAACAGGCACAAGACTCTTTGGATGGGTGCTGGGACTTAATTAAATCTTTTGGGCAGAGGTACAGGAGAAAATGTTAAAATAGAAAAGAACACTCTTACCTTTCTACCAGGTGGTCCAGGGAACCCAGTTAAACCAGGTAAGCCCACGTCTCCCTGCAGGAAGCAAGCAAGTTCAATTAGTTTTCAGCAACATTTTCCCTGTGCCTAGTGTAGTTACTGCAATTATTTTCCCGACACCAGCCCCCAACTATTGATATTTCTGGTTCTAATCACAACTCTTCAAAACTTGACTGGTTAAGAAGTGTAGATTTAAACAACATCTCTATTAACTGGCTCATATAAATAATAACCCCAGTTAATTAATGGCAGCTGCTGCTGGAGTCCAGCTTTTCGCCAGCAGAATGAATGCGCTTTTTTTTCCCCTCAATGATCTCATTCAGTCACATGCTCCTTTCGCCTTTCAATAGGCATTGAAATCGCCAAGGCAAGGAAATTTTAGCTTCTAAATGCAATAAGAACAACAGGTACCTCCTGCCAAGTGCTGTGACTGCGCTCACACTCTGCTACTGCACTGGCTCAGCCCACGGCTCCCACTCGGATGGTGCCGACGGTGGAATTATTCAACCTGCCCATATGACACGGACTGAACCTTTGCAGGCTATGATGGGTTTGTTCAGTGGCCTGTGCTTTTGAAAAGGGATTGCATCACATCCCAGCTGGCACACCCAAGCCATCACAGAGCGGATGAGCACACTGCTGTGAGAACTCTCCAACATCCAACCCACTTCGGCCTCCTCAGATTAGGATCAAAAAACCCTTGAGAGTCTCTAACGCTGTGCTGTTCTTGCTTACTGAAATTCAATGATTTTCAAGTATCTAGCTTGAAAATTAGGCATCACTCCAAATTCCTGCTGGAAACTCCTTACTTCTATCACTGCTAACTGGAATCAAGCCTTGTTAACACAAGCTAAAGGTGATGTGGATCTCTCCTTTTCTTACACCAACCATGACTGCAAAAAAACCATCCCACAGTCTGGAGGTGGACGATTTCCATGTGATGCCACTTCAGTGTAGTGTACCAGAAATTTCAAAAGGCATCTCGTGCTGTTAAGTTAAAAGCATCATTTCAGACTTAGCCTTCTGAATGATTTCTAGCACCACCTTCCACCTTGCAATTGTGTGGCTCTCTTTGCTTCGTGGAGGCATCTGGTTTCAAATGAAGGGCCCAAGCTCCTCGTGGCTGATGCTTTCTATGAGCTGTGTATTTATAGCAAGACTTAGGGTGAAAGGAACAGAATCAGGCTGCTGCCCTGGGCATGAATTAACAAGTATTGTGCAGGCACCACTGAAAGAACTAATTGAGGTAGATGATGTGGAGCCCTGATTGCCCCACTGTTCATTTCTAGAGTTCTGTGAGGGCTTGTTGCCTCAGTAAAAATCACTCATCCGTGAAACAGCAAAAATGGGAGTTGTAACTTACTGAAAAGAATTAGCAGAACTCTGATCCTTAACCACTGCTAAACCCAGAAAGCAGCTACCCTTCCCAGCTGGGTGCTTGGTGTTGGTTTGAGCAGCCCTTGGTGGAAACCCTCACCAGGGCCCATGCCTTGGCAGAGCAATGGTTTGGGGAAGCCTCTACCTTCCCCCACCAGCAGGACCAGCAAGGCTGCTCTCACTGCAGCAATCTGATGGGGCTGCAATGTGGGGCAAAGCACAGCTCCTCGGCAAGAACATCCCTTCCTCTGCCTTCAAGGTTTTTATTCCTTACACTGGGATTGTTTCTTTTCTGCAGCCGCATGCCCAGAGCTGGCACGGTGTGGCTGCACCTCAGGTGTGCTACTTGAAATACTGGGCTCAAGCAGTGCCTGCAGCAGCAGAGACTTCAGTTTGGGATGCAGACTGTGCATTAAATAATGGATAAACACCTGGACAACAAAAAGCTGTGGCAGGTGGCATTTCAGTGCACCACAGCCAATGCCTGACCTCTCTCTGCAGTCCTGAATCCAAGGTCTAAGTCTTATTTTCTGGTCCTAAGTCTACTTGAGCAGCTGGGATGTTTGTGGCTGCAGTACAGGCTCCCTCTGTGTGTATAAAAAGCACACAGTGGTCTTGGTGCCTGTGCCCTCGGGGTGACATCTTACCTTCTGCCCATTCCGAGCTTTTCCAGGCGACAGCCCAGGATCACCTTTCTGACCCTGAAATTAAAAACTCACATTAATGACATAACCCAAGGACTCAGCCCACAGATGTGGTTCTGCTTCCACTGAGCCTCCACATCAGAAAAACATTTTGTTTTATCTCTGTCTTGCCCCAACATCCCAAATGTACTAAAGTGGCAGGAAATAGCTGTTTTGCTGGGGGTGGTTTTGGTGAGTGATTGTTCCTGCTAAAGAGTTCAGTTTTAAATAGTAGTTGACAGAATTAAATTGGCTAAAGAAAGGGTAACTAGAAGGAGGCAATGCCAGGACTTTTGATACTTATTAGACCAGACAGCTGCGATTCCTTCCTTGTCTACAACTACCATCACAAAAATAATTACTGAGCCTATTACTGTGGCTAAACCATCCTTCTCAACAACTCACTAGATGCTGTTGCTTTTTTAACTGTGAGGAACAGATGAAACTGCAGAGAAAGTTACACTAATTAGACACTCCCAACAGCCAGAGCAATTGTGAGGCTCCCAGGCTGGCAGAAGGCAGCACACTTGACCTTAAGTGGCAGTATTCTTTATTTTCCTTCTTAACAACCGTGACGAGAGAAATGACAATTCGAGGCTGTGATCTTCCGACAAACACAGGCTGGAATTTCAGCAGCGCTTGATTATCTAATTCCAATAGATTCCTTTGAAAATCCCAGTTCAAGTTCTTAAAATGTGGAAAGGTGCACCTAACAGGGGGAGAGATAAAAGTAGGAAAATCCAGAAGAGATTTGAAGCATGCCAGATTCTTTGGGCTGGGGAGAGGTAAGGCTTAGCACATCAAGCAGCTCAGGTCTGTATAACGGGACAGGTATCCCAAGATCAGTCACTGGCTATTTAACACTCCTAGAATCATAAATCACAACCTCCAGCACAGGGGATCCAAAACCAAGCATGGGACAGTTGTGAGGGTTAATTAATGCCTGTCAAGTGAGGTGCTTGGAGGGAAGGGGAGACCCTACAAAGGAGCAATATCAGTTACTAACTGGCATTTCTCATTACCAGCACAGAGGACTAGTTACAGCCAGCTGAGCTGCTTTTCCATGCAGCATCACTGCAACTACACCCCACAAGTACTTCTCACCTTGCAGAGTGTAAATCTCCCTTCTCCTCCTCCACCATAAGCTGTGAGGCTCGGGAGTGAGACTGCTTGGCTCTGGACTGTAGGGAGCACTGCTGATTCAAGGCAGATGCATCTGCACAAATTCTGAATGAAGGCCGCCGGGTTTCCAAACAGTAAATGAAGTCATGCAGATAATCTTGCTTTGCATGCAGCTGTTATCAGGGCAATTCTCCCACTCTTTGAGCTTCAGAGCAGTCAGTGGGTGCTACCACAGCTTGGAACAGATTAGAACAGTTCTCAAGATTGCAGGCTGTTCATTTCTACTCTGCAAAACTCATTTACTGCAGCAGGTAGACACCCACCACTCTCCCTAAATCTTGCCATGTGCTCCATGCAATGACTTTGAGCCACGTAAAGGAACACAAGCCTCTTGCATTTTTCCCTGGGGAGCTCCAGATCACATTAGCAAAGACTCTGCTTGCATTGGTTCTGTGTTGAACACTGCTGAGACCATCACACAGGTGGAGAACTCAGCCAGGATCATGTGGCCCCAAGATTAATCAGCAAGATGGCCACGAGACCAGAGGGAATGGATACCTGGATGTGAGGGTTGAAATTGAGGATTAATTGCTCAGCTCTTCTCACACAGCAATGACAACATGGGAATTAACCTAAGCCTTGTTCATCAGCAAGCCAGAGCACTTTGCCCACAAGCTTCTCTCTTTTCCATCCCAACTGACTGAGAACATTACTTTCCCTTGTACAGGAAGAAATTATTTTCTTCTGTGGTTTTTTTCCCTCTACCTGGGAGAAGTCCAGAGCTGTGCAATTTAAACACCTCAGCTTTGCAATCCCACTAATAGTATTTTAAACATCGGTGAGCCAAACCGATGAGCTATCCTGGAGAAAAACCATTCACTAAACTGAAAATCCAATTTTTTCAAGTGCTATAACAAGAGATTTATCCAGAGCAGCAAGTCCTACTGATGCCTGATGCCAAAAGCCTCCAGTAAACCCAACTTTTGTACTGGCTTTTGAAAACACACCTGTCTGACCTTTCTTCCAATCCCAAACTCTATTAGGGCATCCTCAGAGCTACATCCAGCCATTAGCAAAAACAACTCTTCTGCCCCACCAGCAAGTTACAGGTCACACAACCAACCACAACCCCTGCCCAGCATAAGTTTACAGCTATTTCAGAGGTTATCTACAATAATCACTCTCTGCTAACTAGATGCAACAACAATTTTGCAACTGCCAAGGCCGAACAAACAATGTAAAAAGTGGTGAGAAGCCCCCCTTAAGCAGTTTCACATTACAGATTGCTGAGCTAAGCACCACGGGCTGAATTCTCAGGTGGTAGGAGTGGGTGTAATGCCACTGAAGCCAGTGGATCCATGCCCAAGCAGATCAGCAGGAATTTGGCTCAGCAGCTACAAACAGCTCCGTGGAAAAGATCAGCTCCCTAAATCCGAGGAATTACAAATGCTCAGTTCCAGCAGTGAGAAGAAGGTGGGCTTTGTACAGGGTTGATTCTGAAATGCAGAGACACAATGTTGGTGCTCACCAGTGCAACACAACCAGACAGGAGACACACACAAACACCCACATCCCTGCAGTGCCACCCCACAGCCCTCACACACGGCTGCCTGACCTCATGAGAGCTTTGGTAACTCGGCTGATAAAAATTATGCTCCTGGGCTCCTTCCTAAGTGACAATGACCTGGTGTTAATCATTGTTTCCAAGCTGTATCTATGTGGGAAATTTCAGTTTCCTCTCTTGGATTGCTTGTTTTTTCCATGGTATTAACTGCTATTTAAGGAAGACCAAGTCCAGCAGTCACTCGAAGGCAAGACAAGTTCTACTTGGGGCTGCTCTGCCCTGTTATCCAGGCTGAGCTTTCACAAAGCTGTAATTTAAGCCATGGGCTGGGTCTATTAACAAGATCCCCATCCCTGGAAGTGTCCAAGGCCAGGCTGGATGGGCCTCTGAGCAACCTGGTCTGGTGGAAGATGTCCCTGCCCATGACAGGGGGATGGAACAAGATGAGCTTTAAGGTCCCTTCCAACCCAAAACATTCTATGATGATTTTATGATGAAGACATCAGTCCCAGGTACAGGCTTAGAGGCATTTAAGAGGGTGAATACATCTAAGAGGGTAAAATACAACTTTTTTGGGCAAAGTCCATCTTCTGGGACTGGTGTAACACCAGAGAAATGAAGGGAAGGAGGGAAGGGAAAAGTCTGGCACCTGATACACCTTCCAAAAAGTGTTTCTTATGCAAAGATCATGCAATCTTGCCTTACCAGGCTCTCCCAGCTAGAGATGAACTTATGCCCAGGCCTGGGCTGAGCTCCAGCTCTCACATCCCATTGCAAACGTAATACTCCTTTTGACAAAGCATCATGTAGAACATCCTAATCCTGCAAATGGTGGCTGGATGAAACTGAGATGTATCACAAAGCCCTGTGACACCAGATCTCTGCTGACTATCACAGCTCTGCATCCACTGAGGGCTTCCTGCTGCCAGACTGTGTACGGAGATGGAGGAAAAATGCTTACAGGAAGATTTAATTTCTATTAGGTGATCAACCAAATAGAGCTTTACAGTCAAATGATGATTTCTGACCAGGCATTAGGCTAAAAGTGTTTTTGAAAAAAAATCCTATAGCATAGAGACATGGTTTGACTACAGATTGGACCAGGCACGATTTTGCAGGACTGGAAGTCAGGTGAAAGAACTTTGATTTGACTTATAAAACTCAACAAGTGTGATCTGGAAGTCATTGATGGAGAATAAATGCAGAACACTAAGATGTAGAACTTTTACAGCCTCACTTTTCAGGCCATATAACTCCACTGTAGAATTTAAGCCAGCTGCTGTTCACCAGCATGTCTCCAGTGCCTAATTTTTAATCACGTGGAGGCAGCATGCCAAGTTTCCAGAATCTTTTTTCCAGAGCATCAATAGTGCTCATAACATCTCTGCCTACTGATGAGATCATGAAAGACAGGACTACAGCTCGTACCTTTCTCTGTGTTTGGCTGAGACATCCTACAGCTTCCCTGGTAGTGGAAACCTCTGTTAAGCATTGCCTCCCAAAACTCCACTGTTCTTTAGTCCCACATAAATGTTATAAAACAGAAATCTATTTCTGTGTAAACAATCACACCAAAACAATCCAAACCAATTTCCCAGGAACTTGACAGTCTTCAGGTAACGCAAAGCTTTATACACAGAGTGAGCTGGGAGTTAAAACACCTTCTGGAAGGGTTTTGCAGCAGATTAGGTCCCTTCCAGAGACACTTCTGTGCTCTATCTCAGGCAAAGGAGGGGGTCCAACTGCAGGGGGTGACTCCCACCTCCAAATCCCAGCCAGGGGGAATGTGTGTACAGGAGAAAAGGACTAAACACAGGGCTTCTGGCACTGCAGGAGGAGCCTGTGAGCCCTCATGGGAGAGATGAGGGCATCCAGAAGGAAGCAATGAGATCAGTTTGGGAAGACTGATAGAGATCAGAGTTCCCATGAACTCAGGAAAGAGAGAGGAGGGAGTTTGGGGTGGAGGAAAGCAGAGGAAGATGCTGGGTGCTGCCAGTTCCTCCTGTTACTATCCAGACCCAAAAATGGAGGAGTAGGCTGCAAAATCCAGAGAAGAGAAATGAGAAAGCAAAAAAAATCCAGAGCTGGTGAGGTTCTGGAGTGGGAGGATTCCACTGTCCTTGTCTCAACATAGCAGCTTGCTCCCTGGCACAGGCAGAGCTTAAGCAGGATCCTAATTAGGCAGCCTTTGAAATTTGGGAGAACCAAGGACAGAGGCACAGAGAAGGGTCTCTGAGTGCAGGAAAAGGCCTTGGCTGTGCTGCTGGAGGGTCTGTGTGAGAGCAGGAGGGAGGGAGAAATGGCTTCAGCTACTGCCTTTTTGTACAGAGCAGGATAAAAGGAATCTGTCCTTCCCCTGGGATGCCCTCTGAGATGGGAAGGCAAAAGCTCCTCGAGCCAGCTCATACTTACTTTGAGTCCTGGGGGTCCAGGTGAGCCGGGGTTTCCGTGGGGACCTGGGGGACCCTAAAAAACACAAAAAAAGCCACAAAACAGAATCAAAAGGAGTCACTGGGAATCAGTTTTAGTCCTGGAGCAGCAGAAAGCCTCTGGCTGTGTCGTGCCAGGCTAACCCAGAGCACCAGTGCCCGTGCCCTGGCAGGGGGACGGTGTCACCGGGACCCTCCCTGGCACCCCCGGAGGGGGAATCTCTGCTGCTGGTTCCCATCGGCCCCCCAGGGAAGGGGGAGTGTGTCTGTCACCATGAGACATGTCATGACACTGAGATAATTTGGGTAAACCAAACATTCCACAGGTCAGGGGAGTCCAAGCTCCGCGAGGAGCCCCAGCAGAAAGGGACGGGGGCAGGCAGAGGGGAGAGGAAGTGTGTGGGGGTGTTAATGATTTTTTTGGGTCAAAATTGAAGAGGACACAAGTAATTGCTAAAGGGAAATTGTTCAACTGTTTGGGATGAACTCATTTCCCCTACAAAGCAACCAGACTTTTGCCTTTAGAGGTTGGAAAGAGAATGCATGGTCAGACAGTAAAACGGGGAACAGCAGTAAGTCCCTGTTTAAACCCTTAAAATCCATATTTTACATAGCTAAATTTCTATTTTTTTCTTAGGTCTCACAAGCCAGTGACACTGTCAGAGTATCTACCTCAGATCACACACAGCAGCATCTCCTTTTACATCGTATTTTAAAAGCACCCTGCATATTTTCCAAAGACTATTTAAGGAGTTATCTGGAATAGGCAGCTAAGAATAGTTTATCCCAGGATTGTATACAGCACAGAAGATCTGCTAACCTTTCAGGCAGAAGTAATAATAATCTTAAGTCCCCTTGAAAACGTTCCTGGGAGATGAAACAACCTGAATATTCAGCTCCAAGAATTCTGCCAAGAACGTGTGTGAGATTTATACCACCACGAGGAGCCCTTGCTGTACCCTCGAGCTGGAGGAGCACAGGCAAGGGGATAAAAAGCCACTCAGGCACTTTCTCAGCAAGTATTTCCAATGAGCATTTTGGGGCCAAAATCTTCAGGGTTTGATTTCCAAGGAAAATCACCACAGTTAAAGACACGACTGCCAGCCAAGCTCAGTGCCCTTGCTGTCTTTCGAGAGAACATCAATGCACTGATCTCTATTCAGTTTTATTTTTACCACACTGTAGTAGAAAATAATGCCTTTTTTTATAGCATCTTGTGGTACAGACCGTTGCTGAGTGCTCAGTGCTGTTTCACAACATGCTGCTCTGCTGTAAGAGGCTGTTGGATTAAAAAGCTGAGGCTGAACTTTTCAAATGGTGTTTTTTTACCTAAATAAATTTAACATCCCATTCTTAAACTCCTTCCATATTTTCAGCCTGAAACCAAATGAATTTATTGCCTCATTCTTAATTTTCTTTCAAATTTTCACCTGAAATTCTCCAATAGTTTAGCCTGGCTGTGAATTTCCAATGAAACTGAAACAATTTTAATTAAAATTAAGGTGCTCAAGTATCAGCTTGTCATTTGAAAACCCACATAGCTGCTGTAGCCAGAGTACCTGAGCACTGAGGAGCCTTAAATAAATTCACCTTCCCAGAAAACTATGGCATCATCTGCTCACCTCGTTGGGTGGGACACTGAAACAGAGACTGGATGAGCTGCTTAAGGTAATTCAACAAGTCTGTGGTAGCAAAAGTGCTTCAACCCAGGTCTTTCAAGTCTCAAATATGTAGGAAAATTAATATTAAGTGACAGAAATCAGAACAGTAGAGTCTCCATATAAGATGAGTTCCTAAAAAGCTCTTATATGTAAGCAATAATCGAGGTAGCTCTGAACAAGGTCCATAAATCCAGACTGCTGCTGGACTTGAGGAGGGAATTCAGCTGTTATTCAACTTTGGAGTCAGGCAGCTTGGCTCAAAGCCCACAGTTAGTTGAAATTTGTGCTCCACCATAGCCTGGGGCATGCTTACAGCAGTGTCAGACCAGAGGGAGCAGCACGGTGTGATGTGATCCTAGATGAGAATGATAGTTTCCAGGAGGAAACCTGGAACAGGGGAAGCTGAGCTGCCAATCCAGAGCTCCTGGATAAGAAATTTATCACACTGCCAGCAAAACCTGGTGCAGGCTCTTCCAGAGCTAAACCAAAGCACAGCAACAAAATCCTAAAAAGCCTTAACCAAAAGGAGGGAAGAAGGGAGGAAGAACCTGGCCCCAGTTTCCAGTGACAAAACACGTGATTACAAACAACAGAGACTCTTGACATAAAACAGAGCCTTGACCACTGAGTTCAGTGAGACTGTATCCAGTGTAATCCAGGCAAAGGAAGGTCAGAGACTCATCCTGTTCCTAAAGACAAATGTGGTCTTATCCTAGCGAGAAGTGGCCACATCCTGCTGATGAAGTGACAGGGGGAAGTCCAGTCTGGCACGCAAGAGACTGCTGTGACCAAGTCTGGGGTTCCTGCTAAATGTCTTAAACTGTTCTGGTAACCGTAGAGAGAAAAGGGTGTAGTCTGGCAGTAGTCCTAAAAATTGTAAAAAATAATTGATCTTGATGTGTTCCAGCACGGTTAGTCCTGAATCTGTGATTCCACCCACATTCTTGGCAGAGGAGGAAGATGTGGTGTGGTACAGTTAGATGGGCTCAGGAACAGAAGGTGCAGGACAGCAGCTGCCTCAGGAGCCACCAGCAGCACCCAATCTGGACAGGGAGGCCTTACAAATTCATCATGGGCAGATCTACAAACCCCAATATCAGCCATTAAGCCCCCAAACTGCTCACCCTTTCATTAAACCCAGTCTCATGTTCATTCCTCTTCTCCTGTGCCCAGCAGAATTACCCATTCCCAACAAGTGTTCCCAGAAATAGCCCTCCTCCATGGAGAAGCAATTCAAGGGATAATTGCTTTGTAATTCTATAGTTAATTGCTATATTTTATATATTTTACCCTGGATTTAATTCAACTTCCCACTCATACCTAAAAATCTGGATTCTCCTAAATGTCTTAATCATCAACACATGAGTTTTGCTCCTCTCATCTACACATAGAGTGGGACAATGCTGAGACCACTGAATGAAAAAATCCCACAGCAGGTATCACTCTTTGTTTGGGTGCCTGTTTACCCACCAGCTTTGGCTTCCTATAACTGCTGAAACAATCCAATCTAGCAGCAAGCAAACTTGCATCTGAAACCTTCCAAGCCTTGCACCAGAAATTCCATGGAAAATTTTACCATGGGACAGCAGTGGCCCACAGCTACTGCATGGCACGGAGGCCAGAACAATCCCTGAATGTATTCTCCAAGTGAGGGGGGTTTTCCCATCTCCCTGGAATGTCTTTTATGTGAATGATGCTGCTTGAGAACTACACTGAACTACACTGAACTCCATGAAGTGCCTGGAGATGGGACTTTGCTCACAGAAGGGCTTTTATGCATAAAGGTTCACAGCTCACAATAATTAACAAAAGTGTAACTGTGCACAGCTACCCCCAACCCTGCAGCATTCACGAGGAGGGGGAAAAAAATCCCCCAAACTTGTGCTAAATGCTAGAGGGCTCCAGTCAGAGGAATGACCACTGATTAGAAACTCATTATATGCCTTGGGGTTTCACTGTGTAAAGCAACTTTTTCTTCTCCTGACCTACAGATCCCACTGTGACCTCTGGCTTGCTGAAAAATGAGCTAAATATTTGAAGTGAAGCCAAACAAACTGTTTCTTTAAACACTTTTCAGAAATTGGAAAACCTCCCTAATGGAAAGGGGATACCGGGGAACCTCTACAGCTGACTCAGTTCCTTGTTTTAGGAGGGAAGCCCTGCATTTTGAAGGAAAGGGAGATTTTTTCCAACCACAGACCAAATGCAACAGGGACATGTTAAACTGGGACCTCACAATCTGTCAAGCTGCTGAGGTTCACAGGAGGATGGCAAGTGCATCCCGAAGCATCAGGAAGTGCTTCTCTATTCTCTTCACCCACCCATTTGGATTTCTCCTGTGTTGTGTCAGAGTTTAAATAAACCAAGAGCAATTGCAGCATGTCAGGCTTTTATTCCCAATTCTGTCTCTGACCTGTTGTGTGGACAGGGACAAAACACTCCCTTGTACCTGAGCTTGCTCACCACTTAGACAGGGAGTGACCTCCAGTGGGAACAGGTTTCCAGAATTAAACTTAAGTGTTTTGAAAATTTGATCATAGCTCTTTTTTTGCTGTCCTGGGGGTGAAGTAAACAACCAAGGCCAGGTTGGATGGGACACTGAGCAACCTGGTCTAGTGGAAGGTGTCCCTGCCCACGGTGGTGGATTGGAACAAGAGGATTTTTAAGATCTCTTCCAGCCCAAAGCATTCCATGATTCTATGAATTGGACTCCTGCCTGTTGTGTGTCCAAGACTTGCTGTCTCCTTCACGTAGGAGCAGAACAGATAACTGGGATTTCCACAGCCTCATCTGGAAGGCAGCATTTACGACTGAGTGTCACAGTGCACAGCACTATTCTGCAGAGCTGATCAAACCGTGGGGACTTTGCTGGTCAAACTACTCCAGTGAGGACTGAAATGAGTCACAATTTGTGATGGACAGGGATGTGCTGGCAAAAGGCCCTCATGAGACAATGTTGGGGTGAAGTTAATCAAGCCTGGGGTGAGGCAGGAATAAGCTACAATGGTGAAGGAGTTATTGCTCCTCTGAGAGCCCTTTGTTGACAGCTCCTTGTAGAGCTGGTTGGCACCTCCCTGTGAGCAAATCCCAGCCTCAGCCTCCCTGTTAGACCTCGATGTCTGAAGAAATGCAAAGGTCATCTGCAGCAATGAAGTGCAACACACGTGGCTTGCAGAGAACTGGGGGTGCTGTGCAGGTACCCCAGTGCCAGCACTCACACACACCACAATGGAAAGGCTGTCCCATGACCTGCCCACGTCACACTGAGCTGGGGAAACCCTTCATTGGCAACACTGCCATTCCCTCAGACCTCACACAGACACTTGCCCAGGCACACAGCACAATTATCTGAGCAGGAGAGGTGTGGACAGATCTCTTATTATGCCTCAAGTTCTTTAATGCAAACATAAAAGCTGAAAACAATCCTCCCTGAATACAGAGACAAAACTTTCCTGTAGAGCACACATGACCAAGACAGCAGTATCTCTACAGGCTGGAGAGCTCCTGAGAAAATGTTATCAGCCATCACCTCCAGTCATCAGAATTGCAACTTTTTATTCCATTATTTCCCTCAGGAAATAATGAGAAAAAGAAATGTCCAGTTCTCATTTGTTACAAAAATGAAAATTTGTCTTGATAGTTGCAGAGAGTAGAGTACAGGAATGGTCTGAATCTGTCTCAATGGGTCCCTGATGCTGAGTGATAGGGTGTCCAGTTAAGTCCGTGCTCCTAAAATGGGGATTAGGTTTTAAACAATTGTCATTTTAGAGAAGACTGTCACTCTCCACTCAGCTACCCAGCCTTGAGTTGCACTTGAATGCTGAGATGTGTCCCAGTCACCACCTCTTCCATGCTGTTACAGAGGCTGGTAGGTATTTTTGCAAACCAGGTGGCTTTGCCTACATGGAAGAGCCACCCTCAGACTGCACAGGCACGTCTGGTGATACTCATCTGCTGGAAATGAGGAGAGTGGGACCAGCCAGCTTTTCTCACAGAGTGCCACCCACCACAGTCTCACACTCAAGGCAAAGGCTAATCAGAGCTTTCCTTTTTCCCTGACCAACATGGGAGGACAAGGGGAAGTTAAAAGAGATAATAAGGAACTCAGAGGGGTAGAAAAACTGAACCACATCAGCACGAGGCAACTTCACAGCTACAGAAAGCCACAAGACAAATGCTGCTACTAGATTTTCAAGTACACCAATTAATTGTATAAGCATTAATAATGTAGAAATTATGCAATTTACAACAAGGGCAATTACATCTCATGCATTAGGCCATAAACTGCATTGGTGACAAGAAAATTCCTTCCTTTCCCTTGGCATCCAGCACTGCAAAGTTCCCTGCAACTTTCACCTCCCATCTGGAGCTCCAACCTTGGGCTGGAGCCTGATGGCACATCTCATGGGTTACCCATGGGCTGGTGCAAGAACTCTAGAGCTGCTTTGTTGGAGGAACAGATTAGATAGAGGCAGAACAGACAGTGTTGCACATTTATTTTTAAGTGGCTCAAGCACAACAAAAGCAAAAGATGCAAAAATTCCCCCAAGCCTGTCTTAGTTCCTGGCAGCTCCTCTTTCCAGTAATATCTCTAAACCCCAAAGAGACACAAGAAAAAAGTACTAGGAGAAACACATCCCAAAGTCAAAACAATTAAGGCACAGAGCACTTCTGTCTCCAGTGCTCCAGGCCAGACATTCACAGTGACCCTTCTGCCCCCTCCCAAAATTAGCACAGACTCTTTGCAGAGGTCCAAGCCAAGCCAGGCTCAGCTGTGCTAAGCACTTCCTAACTGGGAACTCTTTCCTGGACCAATTCTCAGCACCTCTGGCACAGGCTGAGCTCAGAAACCCTCAGTTGCTTATTGTCTTTCAGAGGATCATCTTAAATATAGGATGGAGTGTGCCACAGCTGGGGAATAACACAGAAAATTATGACACAGCTTCCACAATGCTATTTCCTTCAGAAAAACTCAAGTTTTGGTAGTGGAATTGGGATGTAGAGCTGGAATTTGCTCACTCACAGAGCAGGCAGGGGATGCAGCTGTGGACTCCAGACTTGGAATCTCGTTTGCTCACCACAGGATTGCCAAAAGTAACACCAAACACCCCTCATGAGCAGTGAGCTGGGGCTGGAACCAACTGCCAGCCTTAATAGGGATGGATAAGAAATGCAAACTTTGGGCAATCTGCTGATGTGGGTGATGCCTGGGTATTTGTGACAGAAGATATCAGGGCTCTACAACTGGTTGTGGTGATGCTTCACTGAAGAACTTAGCTAATCATAGAATCATAGAATCAGCCAGGTTGGAAGGGACCTCTGAGATCATCAAGTCCAACCCTTGATCCACGACTGCCGTGGTTCCTACTTGCAGAACAGATTATCCCATCTATAACACACACGACCCTGGTGCTCCCTAACACCACACACTCACAGCCCAAATCGGTGTTCAGGGTTGTTCACACCCGTGCCCAGGCTGCAGGGGTCTTGCAGACCTTTTGGGGGTTTATTGTTGTAGAGAGAAGGTGAGTTTATCTTTACTGGTTACTGCAAGATCTCACGGGAGTGTGAGGAGTGTCCTGGGGGAATTCTGAGCCTCCCAGCTCTCAGCCTCTCGCTTGTTCTTTAAAGACATTACATGGGGTTGAGTTTTAGCCAAGTATGTGTGAGGAAATCTCCCTCTGCTGCCAGGCCAGGATGCTGCCTGGATCATGGATCCAAATATTCCCTTCTTCCAGCCTCAGACACTCACATCTTTCGATTCCCAACCCACATCAGTTCAGTGCTCAGGAAATGGGCTCCATGGCTGTACCTTGTGGGTCAGCACCATGCTGACCAGGAGAAGGGTGCCAGCAATTAACTATATCCAGGTCAGGCATGTTGCCCAGCCCTGGGAGACTTAGGCCAATGCTAAAGCTTTTCTCACAGCTTGCTGCAGCACCCAGCACCAGATGTTTCCTCAGCATAGCACTCAATGTTCAAAGATCTGCATCAGAATTTCATTTGGGGAGGAAGAAATTCAGGAGTTTGCCACGGATCTTGTAGAACAGATAATAAATTTTGCTTTACATCTTGAACAGGAGTCAGAGAGCAGGTCTCAGACTGGGGAACACAAAAGCTCATCCTTGTGTTGAGTCCTTGGTCCTAGACCATGGTCCCAGTGGACCTTGAATGAAGCAGTTTGGGAAACTGGGGAGAGTGAAGGACAGAATAAAAAGCAGCCAAAGCTAGTATTCAGCACTGAAGGAATGGATCCTGGAAACAAAATGAGACAGATAGAGCTCACTCTTCTGACAGACATTTGGAAACAACCATCCCCAGCCTTTCCTGATGCCAAACCTTAGCTCAGGGAGGCTGCAAATCGCCAGTGTGGCCTCCTGAAAACCTTGAACAGAGAATGAGAAAAAGGAGGAAGGCCAGAAGCAACCATTACTCAACCATAGGAACACAGAATGGCCCTTGGAACAGCAGGACAGGCAGACACAAGTACAAATGGATAGAAAATTTTACACCACTTACTCGAGAGCCTCTCTTGCCAGGGGGTCCTGGTAAGCCCGGCAGACCTGGTGGACCCTGGGAAAATAAAAATGGGTATTAATGATGGTTCTGTAACAGGATGGAGCTCCTGACAGTGCTTCAGAGAGACCCACAACACAATCATTAGGAGAAGGGGTGGGGAGAAGGGTCAGTTACAGCACCACAGCCAAAATTTCAAGTTATGCTATTACTACACAGGGATAAAAAGCCACGCTCAAAAACATCTGCAGGAGCACGTATTTCCACACGGGAGAGACAGAGCATCCACATCTTTCTGCTGCATTCCCGGGATCACAGCTGTGTTTCACACTTCCCCTGCCCTGGACCTGTGCTGTAATACAGGGGTAACACAACTCTCTCTCAGCTTTGGACTTTCCTGCTACGTGCGAGCAAACAACAGGAGTAACGTGTTAGCACCTTGGCAGGGAAGAACATGGTGTGTTGTAATCTGTATCAGCTGGACACAGGGAGTTCTTGGTATTGCAGGCTGCTACATGAGTTACAAAGTAATCGTATCCCAGCACTTCATATTTTAAAGTGTTGGGTTATAAAACCTAATAAAAATTGGTGTGAGCGTCGGAAATTCTTAAATATGGCTCTGTAATATAGAAAAGTTCATGTCAGACACGTCAGAGTAGTGGGGGCTCTTGGAAGAGGGCGAGAGCAAAGTGGAGATATCACACGCCCAGCTGTGCACTGATCTGAAACAGGTTAGGAAAAAATCCTTAACCAATGAGGTTTGAACTTCTTGGAATTTATTCATCTACTTATTTACATTTTTTTTCAATGGACTGGAGAATTCAGATTTCTGGAGAGCCATCTGCAACTCCTAATAACTCCTCAGAACTTCTTTTCCCCCCAGCCAAACATGTCTAACAAGAATAACTGTTAATTGAAGCGTCTCCCAGAGGATTTATATTCTGGTAGCTTGTTACAAAAGACAAGCTTTCATTGCATGCAATGAAAAGGAGGGACATCCAGAGCAGCAGACTGAAGGATGTGTGGAAGGCAGCCTGAGCTCTCCAACTGCATGGTGGGCAGGAGAGCAGGTCCCAGGAGTGTTGTGTGGGGCAGGGGCAGGATGAGCCCCTCAGCTGCACTCTGGTCCTGCGTGGCCTCACTCCCTTCCCACTGGATGATCCCTGCAGGACCTGCTCTCTAAGCAGAGCCCACTGCCAGGCTGGCACAGCTGCTCTGCAGGACTTCCAGAGCTTCTCAGGCTGGTACCACCCCTGAGCAAGGCTGACAAACTCATGGTCTCTTAATGAAGTTCTCAGGACTCATCAAGTGCCTTATTCAGTAACAAAAAAATCAACCTTGGAGAGCCCTGCCCGAAGTCTCCTGCCCAGGAAAAGATTTTCAACACAGAAGACTTGCCTGACCCATGTAGGTAACTGATGAATAAACCCTCCCCTAATATTACCAACCCTCCTACACGTAAGTAACAAATTAAGTTGTATAAAAAGGATGGATATAAGAGCCAAACTTGGCACAGAAGAAAAAAAATCAGGGGAGGAGTAAGCAATGCCCAGGCTTGTTGTAAAAGTGTAAGAGCCTACACAGCACAAAATAGTTCATGCCCCACACTGAGACATGCAGGGATGGACTTCTGAGATGGTATCAGTCACTGCTGCTGCCCAGCCATGCCTGACCTGGAGATGTCCAGTCTCTATAGCCTGGGACACTTCATCTGACCCCTCTGCACGTTGCTTATTGCTGGGTAACACAGTATTACTGGTCCTTGTAGTAACAACCCTCATTGATACAGCTGACCCTCATTTTAGCAATATGCCCAGTGTTTTAACCTGCCATTGTGCCAGCTCAGGGCCCCGTGCATAATGCAATTATACAGCTGTGCAAATAGACACGTAATTGTAGGGTTTTTTAAGCCTCATGTATAATTGTTCTCCAGAATCCAAGCTTTTATTAAAAAAATCCCCTTGCCCTTTTAGTTGGGATGATAACTATCAAACAACAAATCTAGTGCAACTGAGACAGCAACAGCTATTAGAGTTTTCCAAAGATTAATTCAAGTCCTTAACCTCTTCTCCATCCAAACCCATCCCCATCTACTCTTAGAAGGAGAAGTAAAAGAGAAGATGCAACCATCTGAGCGGGGGGCTCCCTATGTACTAAAATTGAGGTGACCTTTTCCACCTTCCTGCTAACAGCAGCTGCAATTGTACTTGGCCACTTGAGAAAAAACCTTATCCAAAAATGTGGGCTGTTCAGAACAAACTGAAGCTAACAAAAAAATAAGGAGAGAGTTAATACCTGCACTGGAGTGGGAATATGGAGTTAAGGGAAAGGTTTTTAGCTGGAGCAGCACAGAACAGCACGTAACTCGGGAGTCCCTGTCACTTTGCTTTGCTATTCCTTCAGCCTTTCCTTTTCCTTTCCTGAAGAGCAAGAGGGATAAGACATCTGTGGGATGAGAGGCTAAAAAGTGCCAGCCACTACAGTAAGTGCATAAGGTAAGAACATGACCGTGTATAAATTAAAAGCCAGCCAAGGTGGAAGAGGCCAGGGGCAGCTGGAAGAACACAGGTAGTGGTGAGACAAGATGCACTGCAAGGCCACCTTCTGGATTCTCACACGATTCCTTGGTAGCTGGATTGGGTGGGACATGGACTGAGCCTTCCTAGAGACTCGTTTCTGCTCTGCTCTGTACATACATCTCCATGTTACCCAGCTCCAGTTCTCGGACAAGAGGCCCACGTCCGACAACCGGCTTTGCCTGGGGAGAGCAATCCTGAAATACACACGGAGAAAATCGCGCATCCGGAGAGGCAGCCAGAGGAGGATGGGGCTGGATCAGGGCCCAGCTGCTTACAAATGATGGATGCAGTCCCACTCCAGACGTAAGGCTCTGAGACATGGAGAGTAGATGTCTGTCAGTGAGCCACCACCCAGCAAGGTGCTGAGAGACTGCCTGGGGTGATGCCCACGCAGCCTCTGCCCTCACCAGAGACATCTCCACCCTCACTCCCAACGCAGAGTTGACCACACAGCACCTTTCCATTTGTACTCTTTAGAGTATCCCTGGGGAATTCCACAGGGAGCAGCGGGAAGTGCTCCAAGGGGCAGGAAGGTTTCCTTTTCCTGGCAGGGGGAGGAAGATATCATTGCTCTGCCCCTGCCCTCCCTTAGCAGGAACACCCCACGAAACCAGCAGAGCCAGGAGCCTCCCGCAGCGAGCTACCATTCCTGGCACCGTGGTTCCTGTCTCTCTGGCTTCCTGCCTGCTCCTTCAGCAAACTGATGGCGGAGAACACACACCCTGTTATCACACAAAGCAGGATCAGAGATCAAGGAGAAACACGGCAGAGGCTGATACTCCGTCTCTCTTCTGCAGCCAAACAGCTGAGCTGTTAACCAGCCTGAACAGTTCCTGAGGCAGCTCGTGGCAGCCACATAAAAGTTTAACCCTTCTCAATTTCCCACGGTAGCATTAGACACGACGACCGATCCCACCGAATGATTATGGGATTTATCCTAAGCTGCCGCTGGGAAACTTTCTGGCGCAAAAGGGACGTGGTTTGTTGTTTTTTTTTACCTTAGCTTTTTGAGCTTCAAATTGCAAATGGAAAATTAAGCTAAGTTGTCTGAAAGGGAAATATATTGGACCCTGAGGATAAGGGAAATCTCATCGTTTCCTCTCACTGCCAGTTCATAGCTCTGCCTCTCCCACACCGTGACCCCGCTCACATTGCTTCCTCTGCCCGCAGCAGTGCTGGGGGGAGCAAGGTGCCTTTAGAGCTCCAAACTCAGCAAGGCTGAACCTGTTGTGGAGGGCTTGAATGAAAGCATACCGAGTACAGGAATTGGTGCTGGAGATCTGGGAAATGACTTGCTTCCTTTTGAATGACTTCTGAGTCAACTTGGTCAGATAGCAAAGGACTCCTGTAATTGTTTCCCCAGGAGCAAGTACTCAGCCTGGCAGCAAATAGCTGAGATTTCCCAGGAAACTATTGAGTTCATGTTCCAGTGCACACTGACAGACACACACATTTACTTTAGGATCTCCCCAATGTACCCCTGCCCAGCACTAGCGGCACAGTTCTCCTGTATCCCAGAAAAGGCTGTTCTGGAGATGCAAAACATTCCAAGGACTGAGAAGAGAGAACATTCCTCTTTCTCAGATGCTAATGCATGTGGTAAAAGTCAACTTAAAAGAGAGTTCAGAAAACCCATCAAAATCTTCTCCCCACATTGGCACCAGGTTCTGAGCAGTGACATTACCCCTGCAGATAAAGGACCTGACTTGTTTTCTTCCCAGAGAAAGAAACATTCCCAGAGGAAGAAATATATTTCATATGCAAGGCCACTGCCAAAATCTACTCTTTAGCCTTGTATGTCTGGGAAGCACCAGCACAGAAGGACAGAGCAGCTACAGAGGCAGCACTGGAATTAAAAATTCCCTGCTCAGGAGAACAGAAAAGGAGGAGAAGACCTTCATCTTCAACACACATACCAATTCCTCCTCACCTCCCTGGCCTTGCCAGGTGCTGCAGAGAGGGAAGACAGAACCTGAACTAAATCTGGCTTCCAGTACTGTCTAAAATAAAGCTGAAACTTTAGGGGAAAAAAAGTCCAGCACTTTGGTTACTTTCTTCTCCAGGGCAGACTTATCATATTAAAATTTGGACACATCTGGGTTTCAACCAGTCTAAAAACAAAAAGCCTTCATAATTCTGGCAGGAGCCGAGCTGCTGGTGGGGAGCCAGCCTTGTAACACAGTTTCCTCAACAGGCACAGATGTTTGTTCTGGGTCTGTACAACACCTATCACAGAAAGGTCCTTGTCCACAACTGGATTCCCAGTAGAGGGGTGGCACAAAACATAACAAAATATTAGTATTCCATCTTGACAAAAGCAGCTTTTCTATAGACACATTTCCAGAACAGTCTCCAATCTCAGACCTTGGAAAGCAGTCTGAAAGGCTGGGAAGAAACAGAGGCATCACCTACTCTACCACTCACTTTCTGTTTTTAAAGATTGTACAAATATATACAGGTATTTTTATAAATCCTACATCCTTTGTAGCACATTTATCTCAAACACACTTTCAATTACTGCTCTTCAAAGTTCATTTCATGCAAATAGACCTCTCTGATGCTTGGTCATTTGCCTGCAAGAAGATTTCCCTTCAGAGATATTTCTGGCTAAATTAGCAAAAAAATTTGATCCAACTGTGTGAGCGAGACTAAAACTTTTCCCATGGATCACACAAAGCGTGCAGTCTCCCTTTTTTTTTTTTATTAATATGACTCATTCATTAAGAGATTCAAACATGTTGTGTGTTCCTTAATTTATCATAGACTGGCAGCCTGAATAGCCTTTTCTGGTACAAGGAGGCCTGGAATCAGGCACCTCATATTTTATCGGCGTTCCCAATCACCTCTCTTCCCTGCCCACTGATTGGGTTGGCTGGCATTGCTTCTTCAGGGAAGGAGTTCCAAGACAAACTGCTCGTGGGGAAGGTGGCAGCTGGAGCAGTCTAGACTGGGGAGGTGCTCAGAAACACATCTGCCTTGGAGAGAGGGAGAGGGGGAAAGAGGGAGAGGGAGAGAGGGAGGGCTGCCTGCCAGGCAATGCTGCACCTCATTGAGCTGCAGCCACGGGCTCCAGCGTGGGGCTCCCGGCCCAGCAGCACATGGATGGAATTGTGTGGGATGGATGGAGCTGATGGCTCCTGGCACACCCACCCCGGGGTCTCCACTGACTCTTACACTTGGGGAGTCGTGTGAAACACGTTCCCTCCCTCCCTGTTCCTCTTATGTGCTTCCACAGCCCTTTAGTGAACTCAGCCCGGTCCTCTGCATATCCAGCATCAGGTGTGGTTTTCTTGCTCTAAAAATAACCCTCAGAGGCTTGTCAAGAGTCAATACAGACTTGTTTGTAGGGGCCAAAACCTTTGAAAGTGCAGGAGAAAGGTCTAACTTGGGGATACACCATGCCAGACCCCAGCCATGACAGGGCAAGGAGTTTTCAGCAGCTTTACCCCATTGCACACCCCATTGGGCAGTGCTGGTGGGCAAGGGAGAGGCTACAGCAGCCCCCAAAATCTCCCTGTCAAATCTGCTGCTGGTCTAGACAAGCAAATGATACCCCATCCACCAGAAGATGCAAACACCCATCACATCACAGCCGTACAAAGGTTCAAGGGCATGACAAGCTTGCAGAAAAATACTGTTTTTCAGTATGTATTTTTCTTCTGGGGAGATCAAGGCTGCTTGCAGCCACGTGCTGGGGTCACTCTGCTCTGTAAGCTGAGTGAAGGTCCCTGTGCAGGGCCTAGAGCTCTGCTGGTGGAGGTGCTGAGGGCAGCAGGGATGATTCAGAGGGACCTTTGCCAGCTGCTGAGTCAGTGCTGCCTGGTTTCGCATGATGTCTGGGTGTTCCTTCTGTTACTTCCCCCCTCCCAAAATAAATGTAGAGCCGAGATCCCAAATGCTTGTGGTTATTAATGGTTCCCAGGAAGTTTTTCTTTTTTAAGAACATATTACCCTCCCTCCTCTAACTGCTCAGCAAACCCAACATTCCTGAAGAATTAATGCTCTGCCATGAGTTGCATGTGGGATGCAGCATTTCCATTTCCTGTTGTGTGGCATCCCAGTGGTCCTTCAGGGCAAATATATACATGGAGGGTCCTGACTTTTACTTCTAAGGGAACAGCTCCTTTCAGTCCTTTGCTCATGCTCTTCTAACCATCGAACATATGTCCCTTGGTTGTAGGGTTGGGGCCCTTCTGCACAGCTAAGATTATTCCAGTTATTTTGGTAGAATTCACAAAGCCAAAACTGCAGAGACCGCAGGGCCTGAGTCATCACTGCCTTGCACCACGGCTGCCATTCCCATCCTGGCTTTGGGATGATCAGGATTCCCTGCCATTCCCATCCTGGCTTTGGGATGATCAGGATTCCCTGCCATTCCCATCCTGGCTTTGGGATGATCAGGATTAACAAAGGTCTTTTTTCTCTAGGTGTTAGGATGCTGTGAAAGGGACAGGGAGGGTGCTGTGACTGCCAATCTGCCTCTGCCCAGACATCACAGCCAAGGCAGCCCCAGCCCTTGCAGAACAGGCAGAAGTCAGTTCCCCCACACACCTCCCTGCCCAGAGTGACAATCTTCTTGAAGAGACCTTGTATCGGGCAACAACTTGGAAAAGCAATTAATCACCTTATCCTTCCCCCCGTGTGCCAGACACTGGATGACATTCCCAGTCCATAACCTGCCCTGGCCAGGCACAGGGCCGGGCTGGGATATCACTGACCTCATCAGGAACGTCTGCCCGGCAGCGCGAGGACGGCGCCAGGTAATTACTCAAGCACAGAACATTTATCAGCACTTGCTCTGAAACATGCTCGTCTGGCCATGGAAGTGCTGCATTAATTTCTCAGCATGTCATCCCCATCCCGGCCTTTACTCCTCTTTCCCTTCCCACGTCAGAGTCATCCAGGGAAGTATGGTACAGAGATCTCCAGGTGAGTCACAGGAGCTATCGAGCACCATGCTGCAGCCAGCTCCAGCCAAGCCATAACCTTTCCCTCCCCAAGTCCTGACTTTGTTTCCAGCAGTCAAAGAGGATAAGGCCAGACAGAGCCTCAAAATGTTCTCCTTTCCCTCAATTCAGGACTCCAGTTGTTCTCAGACAGGATGGAAAAACCCTGCCATCTCTTCCCTCAGCCCTCCACAGCCTGAATCCATTTCTTTGCTATGATTCACGAGCTGAGAGGGATTTTCCACTCTGGTTCAATAATAAGCTCTTTACATTACAGGGGCTTGGAGCTTGGTCACCTCATGCCACTTGTAGGGCAAGAAGGTGGCAAGAGATCAGGATTTTGGTGGGCTTGGGGCAACCACCCTGACTGACCCCTCACAGCTAAGTGGTGTTCAAAGGGAAACTCACAATTGCTGAATTCCTCCTCTTGGAAACACGCCTGAAACTCCTCTCCACAAAACACAGAAGCCTGTTCAAAGACCAAATTGCTGGAGCTCATTCTGGCTACTGAAGGATTCAGCAAAACTTCTCCAAGTACAAAGTCTCGCCTCCCCTGCTCAGGCAGCACCTTCACTTCTCCCAGAGGTGGGAACCTTGGAACACAACACCCCCCTTGGTGCCTCTACGCCCAGAATACGAGGAGAGAAATCACCTCTCTGCTTTGAGGTGGGACAGGCAGAAAATGCAAACCCCTAAGCACCCACTGAGGGCTCAGGGAGACCCAACCATTCCACTTTAGGTGTTACAACAACGAGCAGCAGACGCAAGTGCTGGTGATTGTGTTCCTTACGCCAGCTTCAATATTTCCATTGTAAACCCTTCTTTCACTATTTTAAGAAGTCAGCTGCAAAAATTCACTCTAGGCTGGAACTTGGCAACCAAAGACTCCGTCTGGGAGAAACTTATTTTACATGTACAACTCCTCTCTCCTATTGACAATTTGGGTTGGAACACCAAATCCTCCTAAAACTTGGCCAGTTTAAGATTCTGTTTGCATTCTGGCATTTGAAAAAAAAAAAAAGGCAGCAGATAATTAGTGGGGCCTGACTGCTTTTAACATTACAAAATGTGTATATACTTTTACTATGGCCAAGATATACACCGTGAGAGGGGTTATTGTGTGTGGAATGCAGTAGTTAAATTTATAAAGGAAACTTTTTGCATGTTTTAAGTGCAGGCTATGAGAAGCAAATAAAATAAAACAAACAAACAAATACCATAAAAATAGAGGAGAGTTTGCTTTAAAGAAAAAAATCCTGAAGCCATCTCTGTACTTGCATTTGCTGAAACAGAGCACTTTTGTGGAAATGTGAACATCAGATACAAACCAAACCAATAACCAGTGTTAAGACATAGTTCATTGGAGGCATGTTTTTGAGGCACCTGGGTTTTCTCTATGGAAGGTGACCTGAGACAAATCAAGGGTGTGGAATAGAACTCCCCAACCTGACCACTAGAATTTTAGCCAGCAATTTGAAGGAAGGAAGGTAGGATTTCTCTTTTTCCCCCTCTTTGTTTTTTAAAAAAATCTAACATTAAGCAGCAACTTTAACCACCAATGTTTAAGAGGCATCCACCATCACAGAACACCCAAGTTCACACTGAGATTTATGTTAAAACTGTGATGACCAGGAATGTAAGAGTGCTTGGCTGTGATTCCAAGCTGCCACACTCTGCTAAGCTTCACAGGAACCCTTGAGGGTTGTGCTCTGCCAGCCCTTGAGCCGAGCTGTGACCAGAAACAGCCAACATGAAGAGCCTGAACTTACCTGGGGTCCTCTCTCTCCTTTCACTCCTGGATATCCCAGTAAAAATGGAAATGGAGTAGGTCCCAGGAGGTCAAAGATTTGATAGCCATCCGTTGCAGCCGGGGTTGTGAGGTTGAAGGGCTGTGCCCTGGCTCTGGAGATGGGATGGGCAGACCCCAGGGGGGGTTTGGTGGATGCCAGAGGATCCACTTTCCTGGTGGGGGATGGCACGTGCTTCTTTGGAGCGGGTCCATGGTGTGGGTTCTGCGGGGTTGGCTTTAGGGTGACAAGGTGGACATTGCTGGTTGTGTTGTCAGTCACCCTCCTCGTTGGTTTTACAGTGCTGGGTGCTGCGGAGGGCTCAACGGTTGGTTTTTGGTTGATCTTCTTTTTGGTCTCTTGCTTGGACTCCTTCCTGCTGGCTGTGACGAGGCTCTGGCTGGTTGGTGGGGCCTTTTTCGAGGTGGGAAGGGGACTTTTCTCCCTGCGTGTACTGGGAGTGGGTTGAGCCACCCTGAGGGTTGTCCCCGTGCCCCGAGGGAGCGAACGGGAGGGCGGCTGCGTTTCGGTGCTTGACGGAACAGGCGGGGCCACTGTGACCTTTGTGGCTTTGGTTGTCAGTCTGGGAGGTGAAGGTGGGGTTGACACCGACGTGATGGTTGTTGCACCTGAACCCCTTGTCTTGGGGGGTGCAGTGACCCTGCCAAACTCCAAGGATGGGGCAGCAGTGGTCAGGTTTTTCAGACCCTGCAGCGAGGGCTCCATACGCTGTGGGGTGCTGGGGGAGGCACTGGGGTCCCTGGGCAGGAGGGGGATGAGGGGGGGCAGGTTTGGCCGGTAGGTATCTGCTTGCCTGCACTGTTTTTTCAGGTATTTACAGTAATGATGAGCTGCCTTGGCGGAAGGATAAATATCAAACTGGCAGATGGCTCCTTCAAACTGCACGGAGTGCTGGCTTATCTTCCCAAAGAGGAAAGATCCATGTGGATCCAACGCCTCGTCCTTTTTCAAATGCAAATCCGCATGTACTCTGCGCTTCCCACAAGAAGTAAATAAAGTGACTGTCTGGCCACGGATGTCGATGGCCACATTGTGCCACTGGCCATCGTGGACATTGTAATCAAAATATACAGAGCGCTTGTGGCCCACGTACACGATGATCTTCCCAGGCACAAACTGGACCCCCAGCTGTAGTTTTTTCTTTTTGCTCTTGACAGCAAAGAGAAAAGCGTTGTTGATGCGGTGGGAGCAGAGGCTCAGCACCAGGAGCAGGTCAGTGCTGGAGCCCGCGGGGAGGATGGTGCTGAGAGGTGCCTCCACACGTGCTCGCTGAGTGAAGATGACCCCTGACTTGAAAGGAATGACTCCTTGAGGAACTGCACGTGATGAGGACCATCCACCTGATGGCCTTTTCCCTGACAGGCCCAGTCTTTGAAGAACATCCACATCTGAAAGGGAAGCACAAAGAATATGTGAGGTGCTGGACAATCCAATGCAGGAAATCCCAACCACCCTCTCACATATACATTCAAATTGCCAGAAGGAAGAACTCATAGCTCCTCTGCACACTGTGTGAGGAGCAAGTGCATGCTCAGCTTGGTTACCAGCAATTGCCAAAATGCATCAGAGCCCCAGGGTGCATCTGGTCAGTTCTCCTGTCCCACCAGGGACCAGCTCCAGATGTTCTGGAGGGAGCTGACCTCACTACAAGGAAATTTCCCACTATGCACCAATAGTCCACTTCTCTGGGATTTAATTCTGAGTACTGACCACACAGCTGGAAAGGAATTTGAACAACAGACTGAGCTGGGATTGCAAAATTTTATATCCCCAGAAGGCAAGTAACAGAACTTCCAAAGGGAGCAAAAGTCTTGTATCTGTCTCTCTCCAACTTACTAAGAAGCAGCTTTTGATCTTTGGAGAGTTTAAGGAAACAAAGGTGCCTCCCAGCATGAAAATGTTGCACGTAGATTTCAATGAACTGCTCAAAGTTCTCAACAGAAGTACTTTTTTCCCAGCGGATCATCTTACAGACTTAAATTATTTTAATAGGTTGGAGCAACCAGACTTGGTTTGTGAAGAGCTGAGAAATTAGTTATGGCTGCCACTGAGCAGTGGAGGTAAGACCTCCAGCAGTTGTCACCTAGGAGCCAGGATGAGGGGGATTGATGTCCAGAAGTACCTTCTCCCCCAGCTCCAGGAGAAGTCTCCAATGGACAGATAAGCAGAATCTCTGGTTTCTGGTCCAGAGGTCTATTAGGAGTCACTCACAGCTCAGAGTCCAAGGCAGATTAGCAGGCAAGAGCAGCACAAACTGGGGCCAGCTGGCAGCAGCCTCAGCTGAACTACTTAACCAGGGAAGACTCCGAGGTCTACGTGAGAAAAGCTGCAAAGGTAAATGTGCCCAGACCTGAAAAAGGTGCCCATGTGCCCAAAAGCTTGTTCACTTGGTTCAGCTCAATCCTTTGGCCTAATAAAAATGTTACCTACATGGTATATAGAGATGATTTGGATGAGGGGATTGAGTGCACCCTCAGGCACTTTGTGGATGACACCAAGTTGGGTGGGAGTGTTCATCTGCTGGAGGGTAGGAAGGCTCTGCAGAGGGACCTGGACAGGCTGGATCAATGGGTCAAGGCCAATTCTGAGGTTCTCACTCTCTACAACTCTCTGACAGGAGGATGGAGTCAGGTGGGGGTCAGGCTCTTCTCCCAAGTAAAAAACCAATAAGATGACATGAAATGACCTCAGGTGCACTGGGGGTGGGGGGAAGAGGGATGTGTCAGGTTGGATATTAGGAAAGATTTCTTCACCAGAAGGATTGGAACAAGCTGCCCAGGGAAGTGGTGGAAGTGTTCAAAAAATGTGTAGATGTCACAGCTGGGGACACAGTTCAGTGGTGGGCTTGGCAGTGCTGTTTTAACAGCGGGACTTAAGGGTCTTAAATGATCTTAAAGGTCTTCCAGCCCAAATGATCCTATGATGAAGGTAAAGTGATCGTGATTACCACGACACCACCACTGTTGAAAATTAGCTAGGATAACTGTATTCCCTTCCCTCTTCCCTGCCCAAATGCAATCCCCATTACTCCTGGACCAGCTAAATCTCACATTTCAGCGTTCTTTGGGGAAGCCAGTCTGGGCTGTATAACCCAAATGCTGATGTCGCCAGGTAAGAATTTAACACTCAGAAACGTGGTGGTGCCAATCACGGGATTGGAGCTTTGCTATACTAAAAGGAAATTAAATCAAAGGTTGTCCAAAGAAAAAAAATGAGCTCCTTCTCTAAAAGGGCCTCGGTATTTGGCTGCTTTAACCCTTAACTATTAAATGTTCATCACAAAACACAATATTTGGAGAACTGGCACTTAAAAGAAAACTTGGTGTTGGCCAGAAGGGTTGTAGACTCAAGCAGTCTGAGGCCTGTAATGTTGCTGGCCAGGAAGGGAAGAGAATGATGAGAAAACCTTTGTTCCTTGACTTTGGCAAAAGCCTTGGCCATTTTTGTGTGTAAGAACGAGTCAATCAATATTTACTTTGTCTGAGTTCAGCTTTATTCCTACCTGACTTTTTTAAGGCAGCTTGACTCATTTTCTAGCAGACACTACCCTGGAGAAGGTGCGTCAGATGTGGAAGAGGATGGAAGTTTTCCCACTCTGTGCAGAGGGGATAATTTACTGCACAGCATGTGCAAGTGTTAATGACAGTACTTCTCCCATCCTACGAAATCCTTGCTTTTCTTCCATTTTGCCCAACAGGGCTCTCCCTCAGCGTGGCCCTTCCCTCCCTGCACTGAATGGAGGAATCACAGCGGTGTCTTCATACTGGACAATTTCCAGAGCCCATGAAATAGCAAAGGCCAAAGCCTGGCTTTAGTGAAGTCAAGTGGGACTCTTGCCACAGACTTCAAAGGCATCAGGATTTATCCCCAAGGAAATAAATTCACCACTTAAACTAGGAGCTAGACTCCAGCTTCCAATTTCTACATGTATTTTTAGGTTCTCTCCCAGAGACAGACAGTGGTTGTCTCTGCTAGAGATGCTGGACACTCCAGGAGTTACTCATCTGGTAGCTGCTCTGCAAAGACCTAAGGATGTTTCCCTGCTCAGAGAATGCTGTTGCTGCTGTTTGCAATCCCAATCCAACTGCCTCGTTAGCAACTGCATCCAGCAGTGCTTAAGGGAAAAAAAGCACAACCCAAACACTCCTCTCCCTCAAAACCCACTAAGGTGGAGCCAAATTCTGGATGCCTACGCAAAATCCGACTAAAAGAGACCTCATGCAGGACACGTATGTGGACTTTCCAGCCCCAGGTCCAGGCACAGAGCTCAGGACTCCTGTGCACCCAGCCCATCTGCCTCTCCATCCCATGCTGACTGCCCAGGGCTGGTGGGGCACATCCCCTGGGATGACAGGATGTCATCAACTAACATAAAATGCAAGGTAATTTTGACTTCCTTAAGCAGCTCCAAGTTTAGCAGAGCATTTTTTCCCCTTCAGATTTTTTCCTCTGTGGATTTTTTCCATCAAAACACATTATTTAAAAAAAAACAAAACAAAACAAAAACATTCACTTGGAGCTGCCTGGCCCCTAGGTGTCTCAGAACCAGGAGCAACATTCCAGTAGCAACATTTGAGCAACTGGGAAAAACTTCTCTAGCAGACTCTGTGCATGAAGTGAGATGTTCAGAGATTCCTGAACAACCACATGACTGTCTCTGAAAGAGGGGATAAAATATTTTATTGTTCTCCATCCCTTCTCTTTCTTTCCCTCCCCCTTTTCCCCACGCAAAAAACTTCATAAGAAAAACAAGCCAAAAGGCAGGAGAGAAATAACTTGCAGCTTCCCAGATTCCAACAGCCAAGATGTGATGCCCACAGCTAAAATTGGGTTGAATAAATGCTGCATTTCCAAAAGTTACTGCCCAGACCCTTAGTCAGAGCACAGCAGATGAACTCACAAACCTCGTGATCTTTCGGATTTGTAACACTTATGGGAAGATCATCCTCGGCATTCCCTGATTTTCCAATGTGCAGGAAGATCCCTAAACCTTAGAATAATAACTACAATATTTTTCAAAAGCCCATGGTATTGGCTTAATTTCACTCTCACACTGACCTACAAACAAGCTCTTACCGCTTGTAAATCTGATGTTTGAAAATCCTGGATGATAACACAGCCTCAAGTCACCAGTGTTTCCTTACAGCCTTTACTTCCCTGGAAGTATTTATTTTCTGGTACCCAGAAGGGAATCCTCTCTCTTATTGTTTGGAAGGCAAGCAAGCTTTTAAAAATTCTTTTATCACAGACACAGTATCTCAGAAGGGAGTTATCTTCTACACTAGGGTAAACACAACGATAATGAAATAAAAGAGTTTGCTTTAGATGTATGGTAACAATCAAAAAACATGGTACCATCCCATAATTATGATGGGAGCAGAACAATGGATGGAGATGAATCTTAACAGCACATTATAACCTACTTGAAAAGAGAGATGCCAAGACACAGTATTTGTTCTGCCTTTTTATGAGCTGACATAAAACTTGCTCTAAAAACTGCTTGACTAAGTAATTCAGCCAGATGTTCACCTCTTTTGCATGGAGGCAGAATTTGGAAAATATTACATTTTTCAAAATTGCTGATGGCAGGGATCTATTCCCCCCTTGCAAAAAGTGCTCCATGGGCTGGCTGACAGCTGAGCATTGACCAACTTTCTATTTTTCCTTCATGTTTTGGAGACTGAGAGGAGAGCCCTGGAGCCTGCTAGACCACTTAGTGTTGTCTGCAGATTGCAGGGGAAGCTGTTCAGTTCCAGCAAATACCCGTGTAAAACATCCATGTGGAAGAGGTTTTGCTATTTTGAGAAGGCTCCTTTAAAAACAGATATTGTAAAAATGTTCAGCTCCCACTATCAATTACAAAAAAATGAATTAATTTTGTGGTTGTTGACTCTGAAGCTTTTCATCCCTCTTCCTGTGGGGTCCCTGATTATTGTGTCCCAATTTTGTCCTACCCCCCAGCAGCACTAGGGAGGTGGTGTTTGGGGAAGGGGTGTAAAGACAGGGTGAAGGTGTGTGATCACTCCTCTATAGAATATTCCCTTACATCACAGGGACTGAACCAGATATAGCAATTCTATTACCAACCAACCTTGTGGGATTTTTTTTCTTCCTTAAATTTGCTTTTCCTGTCAGAACTGACATCATTTCTGTATGCATAACACCCTATGTGCTGGCAGGGGCATGCCTGGGGTGCCTGCAAGTCAAGGAGAAATCCGCCTGCCAGAGATGTTTAATTCCATAATGCTGCAGCCTCAAGGGGCACTTTCTAAAAGCAGTTAAGTCTTGGCAAGTGCAGGTAAATGCCAGTGACATTTTAGACACAAATGGCTTCATTCCCACAGGTTCCACCAGACAGACAGGCACTCTGAAAATCCTGTGGGGCACGTAATCACCTGTAAAAACCCTGGTTCTTTTGCCAGCTGTTAACTGCATCACCCATATCATCAGTACTGCAACTACCAGCAAAAAATGCATCTACCTCTGCACTGGGCTCAGACATTGTTAAGATGGCCCTACACCAGTACCAAAGCACTTGCCTTTTACTTTGGTTGAAAGAGGAAAGGAAAAAAACATGTAATTTACCTTCAGGATTTCCCTGTGTGAGGCCCAGGAACCAGGTAAAACATAATACAGTCCAAAGAAAGCAGAATCCCCTAAAATTGGAAGAGAAATAAAAATAGTGAGTTTCTACAACATTAGTAACAAAACCAATTCCCCTTGTTAAGGGTCTTCTCCTTGATCCCAAGTCTACTGAAGGCAGTGGCAGCATCCACATGTCTCCAGGAAGTGGATTCCAACTGAGATCTCATTTTGCTGCTTTAAAGTCATCTAAAGCACACTGAATTCATTGGAAGGTTTTCCCACTGGTATTAGGGGCTGCTGATCTATCCTTGAACAAGGACCAGGTCAGTGTTTGGAGATACAGGGTCATCAGTGCTTAGTCAGCCCTCCCTTCGCTACTGCTTCCTTTTGGCACTCACCCCATCCAGGACAGACCCTCAGAAATTCAAGAGAATGGAGAAATAATTCAAAACTGGAGGGTCAAAAGACATGCCAGGAGTGCATGATCAGGTCTGTGAAGACATGGGTAGAAGGTGGGCTGACATGCAGTGCTGTGTCACCTGCATATCAGCAAACAAATTCCGAGTCCTAATGCTTCCATGCATGCTTAAAAATATTCTAAACATGCAGAATCCTGCATGGATCTATTCCTCATTTTACACCCAGATGCAAAGACAGGGGCAGTTTCTAACCACTCAGCACCCTGTGCTGAGCCCTCTAATGATCTTCTCACGAGCCTGGTATGCCAGGAAAGTTTAGAAAGTGTGAGATCTGAAGGCTTCCAAGCCCATGCTCTCCCAGACCCTTTCATGCCTGAAAGGGAATTGGACAAACCTCTCTGTTAGCTCAGCTTTAAGCCTTCAAGTGCCATTGAAAACAGGAGCAGAGAGAAAAACTTTTACCAGAAAGGTAGCTAAGCCCCCCCCTTCTCCTTCCTCCATCAGCTTCCTTGATTTGTAGCCAGCTAACAAACATCGGAAACTCCTTGGTTAGGCTCACTTAAAGCTGTCAGTGGAAAGTTTGAAGACTGAATTCCCTCATCTTCTAGAGATGGTATTTCACAGCTTCATCAGCAAGGGCTGCTGGAAGATGAGGCAGAAATGTAAACTACAGAAAGCCCTCAGCCAGAAGACAGCAGCGTGGGACATCCCCAGCTCGTTCGTCACTTCAGCCAGGCCAGTGCGAGCACTGGGCTGTGCAAAGCCATGCCAAAGTGCAGCCTGCTCCTCTCTCCAGACCTGACACACAAATCACGTATCGAGTGGGATTACAGACCACTCTGCTCCTGCCATCAAGCCTCAGCTTTAGCACAAGAAAGCATCCTCTGAGATAATGTATTACCCTGGGCCAGATCCTCTCAGTGCAGGAGACCCTTTCCCCGTAGGGAAACCTGGCCTTGAATGTAAAAATCCATCCAGGAATCCAGCCACTAACTAATACTTTAAGGCTTGAAGGGATAAAATACTGGAGCGGCCCCTCATTGACTAGGAAACAAATGAGATGAAGCAATCCACGTCCTCCTTCGCAGTTTCCATCACCCTGACACTGGCCTGTGTATTTCAGGGGCTCTGGGGCTGCTTTATTTTATGAAGAAATAACAGCTTGGAACAACCAAATCCCAGTATTCTTTTGCCATGTCCTATAGCTGGCCATATGCTGACCAGGAAACCCTCACCATGTTCGAGAGATCTCCAGCTGGGGAGAGACCTGGTTGTTTTCTGGGCATGTCACCCCTTGGGACACAACTGAAGACACTGAGGAGTCCAAGGAGTGCTGCTGTCCCGGTTCCTTCAGGGGATGGAGGAAGGATGATTCTTCAGGGACACCTCTAGTAGCCTTTTTATGACTTAAAGGAGGCTACAACCCACTTCACAAGAAAAACTGCATTTCTGTGTTCACCTCCATAGGAGCGATGGAGGTTTAAGATGGACACAATTCCACCCATGCATGGAGCAAAGACCTCCCGGAGTGTCATCAGCTGGGCTCAGCTGCCCCATAAGAACAAAAGATGAGGGGAATGGGGTGGATGTAAGGGCAGCAGCAGTGCCAGGCATTAAGAACCTGTTCTCTGGTGAGGATCAGGTTTACACAGCTATGTACAACCACTGCTGCACACAAACACGCCGAAATGAAGTCCACTTTTCTTTTTTTTTTGGAGGGGCACCTTCGCAACCCAAATTCGCTTCCAAAATCCGCGTTGATCAGCACAACGAGGGGAACAAGTCTTGGGGGAAAATCCAGCACGTAATTTCATTCCAGTGACACTGACTGGGGCTATAAAGGAGATGAATGCACGGTGTGGGATCCAGCTGGCCCCAGCCCTGCTCCTGGACCCCTCGCTCGGCCAACACTGTAAGAGCTGAGAGCGGGGCCCGGTGCCAAAGCACTGAAGAAAAACACTTTGGCAAAATTTACCAACTTAATGGAAAAAGCAAAAGCGGCTTCCAAATGGCAGCCCTGTGAGTGATGGGGCTGTTAATTATCCCGGGATTTTTAATGCAGGCTCTTTTTCCGTTACGGCTCGGCAGTGACAGGGTTGTACAAGCAGCTTGAGGAGCAATAGTAAAGGAAGATTCTTCTCCTTATATAGAGCTATCAAACCCACTTGCCTTTATCTCAGCTTCTTCCCACAAGCAGCAATTTCCACTGAGATTCTCTCAAGAGGTAACACTAAAGACATTTATTTATTTTACTGCACAGGGCCCATGAATACCAGAATGAGGATCCTGGGGCTGTTCAGTCTGGAAAAGAGAAGGCTCCAGAGAGAATTTATAGCACCTTTTAATGCCTAAAATGGTTCCAAGAGAGATGGAAAGTGACTTTGGACAAGGGCATGGAGTGACAGAATGAAGAGGGATGGCTTTAAGCTAAAGAGGGCACATTTAGATGAGATACTGAGAGGAATTTCTTCCCTGTGAGGGTGGTGAGGCCCTGGCACAGGTTGCCCAGAGAAGCTGTGGCTGCCCCATCCCTGGAAGTGTTCAAGACCAGGTTGGACAAGAGTTGGAGCAACCTGGTCTAGTGGAAGGTGTCTCTGCCCATGGCAGGGGGTGGAAAAGATGAGCTTTAAGGTCCCTTCCAACCTAGACCATTGTGTGATTCTATGACCCCACTGCTACAGTCACTGGGTGAAGAAGTGCCCTGTAGCACACATGATATAAGCTCACGTGAACCCTAAAAGTTTTCCAGCACAAACTCCCTTTATAGCAAACTGAAGCTTCTGAGTACAGCTTAATTTTGCTTCACTACTTCTGGCAAACTCCTGTGGATCAGTCCACAGGAACTAGCCTGTGCCAAAAGTGCAAGGTAAAATACAACAGAAAGGGATAGAGAAGCAAAAAGACTGGTAATAACCCTTATGGGTTCTCACCTGACAACCAGCATAAAGCACTACACTGAGCTAAGGACAAGAGTAACAAAAGACCTTTCAAGGTAGACTTGGTCAGAAATTATCCTAAAAAAAAGTGCAAGTTTGACAAATCTGAAACAACCTGTAAAACAATTGTGATCAGCTAAGTCTCCACTTCATTATGTCTAGAATTGGTTGGAACAATTTCAGCTTTTTTTAAATTAAAAGATTTGCCCTGCCTTAAGAGCAGAAGTCTAAATGATTTTGACATCTTGTTTGCTTAGATAATGGGTTGAAGCTGAAGGAAGTGTTACAAGGGCCCACAGCAGCATTTAGTTTTTTATTTTGTTTTCTCCCTCATTTACAGTGGGGAAATGGCTTTGAAATCGCAAACATTATTGCAGGGTGGAAAAACAATTTCCCTTTACTTTCCTCCATTCAGGTGTATTTTTTTCCTGTCCAAAAGACCACAAAGCCAGCTGGATGCTGAAATTGCTTTTCAAGAAAAGCAAATCTACATTTCTAGTCGTAGATCAGACAGTGTATCTCAATAAAAGAAAATGTATGTGTGGCTTAAGATTCTTTGCATGTGACTGGAGGTGATATTTTATAAGACTCCCAAGCAGTTTTGATAGAGAACAGGAAACAAATCACAACCTACATATGGAGGCTTTAAGTTGTACCATGCATCAATTCCACTCCCAGCTTTTTGGGGTAGAAATCTTATTTTGTAACATCCTCTGCAGACCAGACTTCTCTCTTTTTGGGGCTTCTGGAAATGATGTTATTTCTCCTCTCACCCTCAATTTCTGGCAAGAGCAATAGAAGCACACAACTATGTGGATGTCCCTGTATTGACCCTGCTTTGTCCTTTGCTGGGCCTTTTCTGCAATATAAACCAGGTATTGATTTAACACCTCCAGGAAAACATTTTGTCTGGTGTACGCAGGCACTGCTGCAAAACCCTACATAAAGGCCTGATATTTGCTCTTCTGGCATCTATAGCTTCTCTTAGGACATCTCCAGAAGGGACATGCAGACCTGCAGTACCCACAAGGTGGAGATGAAGCACCAGCACGGTCAGTGTGACCTCCTGCAGACACCTCACACCTTGTTCTCTCAAGGGTTCACACTGATCTCTGCAGACAGAGGGACGACGGGTTCCAAACAGCAGGTCCTTGTCCTCCTAGTTGGAACGGGAGGTTGTGTAATCATTGCTCAAAGCTGTCCCAGAGCTACCAGCTCCTGCTGGTGACAGCCCACTTCCTCACCTGACAGATGCCAGACTGACATGGCTGTGATGACTCAAAGACCCAGCAACTCTCTACAGCAGAGAATCTTTCCTGGCAGCCCTCCCCTTGGTCTCCCCTGTGTGTCTGGGATATTGACTTTGCTGCTGTGTGAAGTGACAACACTCAGTCCTGGCCCTCGCCTTTGTGTTCTCCAGCAACTGGAGCCCTCCACAAACAGAAGTGCTAAGCGTGATCTGTCATCTAACTCCTTTTTTGTCCTTCCAACAAATGCCTTTGCATTCCTTCATTTTCTGAATGGGGTTTGGCAGAGCCGTATAGAATTCCCCATTGTCTCCATTTGCACTTCAGTAAGCGTCCATCATTTCTACTTATGCCCCCAACAAATTGGCAAAGAAAGGGAAGGGAAAAAAAACCCACAAGCTCTGTGTCTGTCCCTGATTCCTGACAACCCCCTCATCACCAGACCTGGGCAACCCCCGTCAGTAACAACCTCCATGAACAGCATTTTCAAGCAGGACAGATTTTAACTCCTCAAACCATTGGAGAAAGAGGATGAAGCTGGAGTTTTGCTTTATTAAAGGACGTGCTCGGAGAGATACATCGAGGCAGCAGGAGCGGGGGGACCCGGACACAGGACCTCAGCTGGAACCCTGGCTGTGACACTACCCTTCCCTCCTTGGACACAGCTCCAGGAGCTGTGCAATTGCCTCCTCTGTAGCCCCAGGCACCCCTCTGTACCCAGCACACACATAATTATTCAGCCTATTGCTGAATTTGTTCAGCAGTGCCATCATTTGTCCCCAGACCACCTGCCTGGCTTGCATGCAATGCTCTTTTCCTCTTAAAACAGGGCCCATGGCTCCTTCTCCAGCCCTTTTGGGTCTTCCCAGGGGCTGACCCACCTTGGTGGTGCCAGGTGGGTGCTGTACCACCACACGTGCAGCTTTCTCACTCCACACATGGATGGAGCATCAAGCCTCCTGCATGGCCAGCATGTGACACTGGGGTGGAAGGGGCCAAGGTGTCACAACCACAGTGGAACAGCACCAGTGCTACGGTCTTGGACACGTGCTTGATGCAGAGCTGAATGCAAACTCACCTCCTGTGGCTCAGAGAGACTGTGCTCACCAAAAATGCACCAGCAGAAATGACCAAGAGGGGCATGTTAAGCTTGAAGAGCCTGTAAAACTTTGTGTTCTTCTGGTTTTACAAGCTCTGGCAGCTCGAGCCAGGACAAGGCTTCAAAAGCACACTCTGCAGGGGCTGCTCCTTCCCCGGTGAGCCAGCACTCCCACTCCTGTCTGCGGGTCTCCTGCACATCCGGCAGCTCCTCAGCCCTGCTCCAGAGGATGCTGCAGGAGTGCTGGTATGAGCAGGACCCCCCAGTGCCACGTGGAAAAGCACCAGAACACTCTCATCACAAGCTGCCTGCAGGCAGCACAGCCCTCACCCACCCCGAGTAAGGCTCGGCAGCACAAGCGTGGCCCGGAGAGCTCAGGCACACACGAGCTCCGGGCTCACAGGACCCTCTCCAAGGCTAATGGCCTCAGTGGGACCATCCAGCTGCGGGGATGGTGGGATGCACGGCGCTCTGCCAAACAAATCAGAAGCCAGCACCGAAAATCCCTTCGGGAGATGATGTGAAGGGCAGCAAGCGACCTCTGCTGAGGAGTGACCGGAGCAGCACGCGGGAGGGACAGGCCAGGGGAGACCCTGGAACAAAAGGCGCTCATATTCCAAGGCACCAGGGCAGACCAACGCCAGATTTCCCAAGGCACTGCAGCACTCAAACCCCGTGCAGCCGTGCTGTGATAGCCTGGGACGCCCCGTCGCAGCAGCAGACACAGACCTCCGGCAGGCAGGCAGGCAGGCACGCTGCCTTCTCCTGGCTCCCTGCTTCCTAAACCTGTCCTCAGCTGGGTCCGATTTGCCCTGGGACAGGATCTCCCTGTCCTCATCTGTAGCGTGATCTCGGTCACCTCCCTCACCGGGCTGAGCAGCTGGTGCTCTGTCAGCGGCCGAGCATCGTGCCAAGTGTCTCCCCAGCACCCGGGCCCGTCCCCACGCTGCGGCCACGCTGCTCGTGGTCTTTCAAAGGAACCTTTATCTCTGTTCCCCTTTAGACTTCTCCCTTTCTGACACCAGCCACCCTCACACCGTCCCAGGCGGTTCACCCCGACCGCATCCAGCGACAAAAAGGTGTAACTGGGAGACGCTGCAGTTTCCAGCATCTCCAGACACGCCACAGCCACGTCTGCGCAAAAAAAACACAACAAAACAAAACCCACCCTAAAGCACTGCAATTCAGTCCTTCTGAGTATATAAACACACAGAAAACTTGCCAAGGAGAGCGGTTGCAGCCCCTGGGAAGGGGTCTGTGCTCTCCGTGTAACTCCACAAACAGAGTGAGCCTCCAAAGGGAACTGCACATTCATCCACCTCCCGGCTCTACAAAAGGGGCGGGAGCGGGGTGACCCTGGGAGCGGAAGGGGGGGGGGTATGCCCCCAAATCCCCTCGCCCCGTTCCCCCTCTTTCCCCCCATCTCCCAGTCCAGCCGAGCAGAGGGATCCTGTACACAAGTTTTTCAAACTGCCAGGCAGAAGAATCCCAGCCTTTCCAAGGGAGTGTCGGTAAATCATCAGTACATCCGACAACGCAGCCAGCGGGATTAACCCTTTGCTGGCCCCCAGGAAAATAATAACAACAACAACAACAACGCATTTAAGAATGAAAATAGTAAAAACTGGTCCCAGCTGTGGGAGAAAGGGGACGGGCAGGGTGTATGCTGGAATTTTTTCATACACACACGGATGGATAGGAAGCAGCATTTTGTGTGTGCCGAGCACATGAAGAGCTGCCACCGCGCACCTCCGCCGTGTCTCAGCCCTCCCGGGCTCTCCCACCTCCCGCAGGACCACGGCGGCGAGATCCAGGTACCCGAGTACCCACGGCCCCGCGGGACAGGGTGAGGAGCAGCATCCCCTGCTCCCAGGAGGGGCTGGGGAACCCCCCCCGCCGTGCCCGAGCAGGATGAGGGGTGCGAGGGGCAGCGAATCGCCCGCTCCTGCATCTCGCGTGGGGGCTACACAGCCGTCCGCCCCCCGGAGCAGCTCCAGGGCTGGGAGCCCCTTTCCCCGGTGCGTGGGAATTGGGGGGCGGGGGGGGCTCCTCCTGGTCGTCCCGGCCCCAATCCCCGCTCTCACCCGTTCCCGCACACCGCAGCCCCATTCCACCCTCTCCCGCTCCGCAGCGTGGCCTCCCTGCTCCCAGCCCATTCTCCTCTCCAGCCCAGGAGTTTTCACATCATCCCCTGGCAGAGGAATGTCTTCCCCCACCCCATTCCCAGCTCCCGGGATCCCGCGGCTCCCCGGCACCCCCAGCCCGCCCGGGATGCCCTTCCCCAGCGCCGGGAGAAGCGGAGTTTGTACTCACCCCCTGCCTGCCGCTGTAGCTCTGAGTCTGGAGACCGGCTCTGATTCCGGCTCCATCACGTTTAGTGCATTGTCTCTTTCGGGCAATTTTTGCGGCAATCCATCAGAAATCGGGGGACAGGCCGGTTTGTGGGTACATCCTTCCCAGGAGCTCGGCTCTCTGCCTCGCTAAGGGGCTCAGCTGTGTCACAGACACCCCTGGCCCGGACGGCTCACTCCTTCCTCCTTCTCTTCTGGGTCCTTTTGCTTACACAGATCTTTTAATCCCATTTAACTCCCTCTCGGCAGACTGCAATTACCTTGGGAAAAAGGAGAGAGAACACAAAGTACACGCTAGGAAGCCAGGCTGGCCCATGGTCGCTGGATTTCTTGCCTCTCTTTTTTTTTTCCCTCTCCTTAATAATAGTACAATTTCTGTGATCTCTGATTCCCAAAGTCCTTGATTTCAAGTGTTTTTTTCTTAGCTGTTACTTTTTTTCCCGTTGTTTGGTTGGTGGTTGTAATTATTATTTTTATTTGCAGTGCAGATGTGCCTCCCACCCCCCCAAGGATCTCTCCTCTGGACTTAGAGAGAAGAGGAAAAAGGCAGATTTGAAGAAATGAAAATTATTTAAGGATGTCCTTACTGCCTCTCTCTGCTGCCCTCCTCTGTAATACCGAAGCACTTACAAAAAAATAATAAAAAATAAATAAATAATTTTAAAAAGAGGGGGGGAAAAAAAAAAAAGAAAGAAACTCTTTTGGCCAGAAGAGCTGCTGGAAAGGAACCAAAGACCATTTTCTGGCTCCAGGGAGGGAAGCACAGGCCCTGCTCTGGGGAAGCTGCTGATGGAATTGGCTGCTCACCTGCACTCACCTGCCCAGGGCCGTGAGCCCCAAAGTGGCCTCAACACACCTCATAAGGTACCTGACCCAGCTTTTCCCTTGGGATCAGTGCTTGGTGGAGGCAGTTGGGAGCCTATAGATGGGGCTCAGGGTTGGAAGAAAAAAGCCCCCCCCATGCTTCTATTCCCCTCCTTGCCCTGCTCTGTTTCCCCAGGGTATCTGCAGAGCCCCCCTCTTCCCAGCACCAGAGGATGGAATCTGCAGCCAGGAGGGCAGGGAGAGGGGAACGAGTTTTCTTATGCAGGGTCCATCGGTACAAGTGAGATCTCAAGCCCGCTTGGCCAGCTCTGCCAGGAGAGGGGACTTCTACATGTGGATAAAACCTTCATCCCTTTGCCCCCTCCTCTTCCGAAGTCCCACCCAGCCACCGTGCACCTCCCAGGGCGACCGGCGGGTCCCTCTTGTCCACAACGGGACACAGCAAATCCTCAGCTCCGTAGGATTCCCTCAGGCAGGTGAGGGCAGCCCATGACTCCGAGCCTTCCCCGCCTCCTCCCTGCACCCCTGGGTGCCCTCTGCCCTGCTCCCTCCCACTCTGCCTTGGGCACTTACTCTGCAGCGAGGCGAGAGGCTGAGCAGCATCTCCTCGCAGCCCCATGGCCATTCATTTGTCCCGGCAGCTCACGGGAATTGCTACTTCTTAAAAAAATAATAAAAAAAAAAATAAAAAGGAGGGGGGGAAAAAAAACAAACAAACCCCAAACCCCTTCCTCCCTCCTTCCCCTTCAGTCTCAAGGTGTCTCCTGCACCGGGAGCCCGGGAGAGGCGGCCGGGTTGAGGGGCCCGGAGCCAGCCGGGGCTCCCTGGGGTCCCCCCAAATTCAGCAGATAATCCTTCCCCGGGGCTGGCACGGGCAGATCCCCCTCGGGCTGTCGCTCCACTCGTGGGTCATGGGTGCTGCAGGGATCCAGGAGAAAAGAGCGGTTGGGAGCGGGCGCTGGGAGGGACATGGATGTGAAAGAGGTGGAAGTTCTAAGGCTGCCCTTGTCCTTTTAAATAGCTGCAGCCCGGGGACTCCGGGCTGGCGGGGGTGCCCCAGGTATCCGGTTTCAGCAAACAGCAGCTAATGAGCAGAGATCCAGCCTCCGAGGGGCAGGATCAGCGCTGCTCGGCGGGCAGGGGGGCACCCCGGGCACCCCACCAGGAGGGGAGGGGGCTGGAGGAGGGAGGGGAGGGCTGCGGGTGAGGAGCTGCGTGGTCACGGGCAGGGCAGGGGACGGGGCTGCAGGATCTGCAGGGCCAGGGGACGGGGCTGCGGGGCACAGGACAGGTCCTGCGAGGTGCTGAGCAGCCAGCACGGGTCCGAGACACCAGGGTGGGTCTGCGCATCAAAGCTGAGACACCCTCAGGGTCTCCGCTCTGCAAAGGTGTCTCATATCTTCCCACATTATCCCCTGAGACAAGGGGAAGGACTGAGACCCCTCAAACCTGGCTGTGGGCACTAAAGTTACACACGCCCTATAAAAAAAAAATACAGCCACAAATAGGACTGATATTGACCCACAATGGACCTGAACTTGAGGTGAGAAGAGAATGATGCTACATTACCTTCAGAGTAGAAAATACAAGGACCCGCTGGCCTGACTCAGCAATGTAGGTTTTACTCAAAAACCTGACCTCAGAATGTGGCCAAAAGTTAAGGTTTGCACCATAAATTAGATCTCCCTTACAACATCTGTTACCATGCCTGGTAAGGACTTCTCTCCTTTAATACATATATTTGACTTAGTTGGGGTTGCTCTCTGGGGCTGTGGTTTTGCATCTCCCAGTTTCTGTAGGCAGAAGATTTTATTCATACCTTTGCTCTGAAGCATCTGCATTCTGCTTCCGAGGTTGCTATAACAGAGGAAGCTTTAAGTAACAATAAAAAAAAATTGAAACAAGCAGTGCTGTGAGTGGGGTAGAAAACTAACAGCTTCTTAGTCCTCTGTCCTCCAGAAAACCTTCTCAGGAGGGCACAGCTAAGTTACACATCCAGATATTTGTAAGAAACTCCAACTCACAGACAAACCTGTCTCAAAACTCTCTAAAGGCCCAGGTGCTCTGATGACCCATCCAGTCCAGCTTTGAGGACTGGGACTTTGGGGACAACAGGCAGTGACACAGCTTGTCAGAAATTCCATAAAATCCCTAGTTTTCTTAGCTATTTTTTTCCCCAGCTGCTTTTCCTGTGTTTCTCAGTTACACATTCCTCACTGAGAAACATATTCTAGCCAAGCTAAAGTGTTTAGGATAAACCTTTAATCTATTAAAAGGTACTTTACAAAGAACATGTGTTAATTCCTTTGCTGTTGAATACATACCTTATATCCTCCTGCTCTTTTCTACCTTTTCTCTCTTCTAAATGCAGCAAATACTGAGTAAACATTCTTTCCCTCAAAAAAACCACCCCACTCTACCCAGAAAAGAGTAAGGCCTGGCTTCCCAGAGGGAGGGACAAAAAGGAATGGAAAATGATGTGCTGCATCTTTTTGCAAAGACTTATCCAAATGGATAAGTGCATGGATAGCTGGGAAAGGACTGGTGATGCTTCAGGTCCACATCATTGCCCCAGGAACCACCATAAAACTCACTGACAGCCCCGTCCTCAAATCCTCTGCACATACTTTACTTTGCTCAGGTGAACATTTTCAAACCAAACACATGCATAAAAGCTTTGCTAGCACAGAGACATAAATGTAGCCCAGCAGTAGGAAAAAGGGAATTAGTTTAAAACAAAAGGAAACCCAACATTGCTGAAGCCAAGACTAGTGCCAAGTGAATTCAGGTTCAAAAATTAGACCTCATTCTTCAAAAAGAGAAAAGCCACAACATATGATCTGAATAGAAATATATTTAGCAGATTTATTTTTCTTCCCTTCCAAATTTAAATAGAAGCCATTTTAAAGCACTAAATAAACTGAAGCAAATCAGCACAGCAGGAAAATGAAAAAAGGGGGGGGGAAGAAAAAAGGAATGGGAATTGACTGCTATAGTTTAATTAGTCAAAATGAGAAAAGTACAGGGGAGGAGGAATTCCACCACACAACACAGGGAACAGAACACTTGCTTTAGATGAAACGCACCTCTCAAAAAAAGCAGCATGTCATTACAGCCTGAATAAATACAGCATTTTAAATATTCAGCTGTATTTAGCCAGTTTCCAGAAGAACCAGTACCCACCTCTCCTCAGGAGCCGTAGCTTGGTTAAGCATCAAGGCCTCTTATTAATATAATTCTGTCTCTTTGCTCCTCTAGGAAAACTGAGTGGGGAGGCATCTCCGAGCCATGGTGAGCAGTTTTACAGCTGCCCTGTGTGACTCACAGTGCCCAGCTTCAAGGGGCAGAGGAATCCCAGACACTAACCTGGGCTTGCCCTCCCAGTTTGGCTTGGCCTGGAGGACAACACTGAATTACAGTTCAACCATTTTTAACTTTACATAAGTCTGAAAAGTATCCCAGATCACTCACTGCCCCCACAACTCACAAGGAATTATAGGGATGTGTTTGGATATATTTAGATAAATACCCTATTCAGGTTTAAAACTGTGGTATGACCAGGCAAAAGTAAAACCCCCGGCACCGGAAAAACTAGTGGGAGGGATCAAACAAACATGTGAAGGAGAGGTGGGATAAAGAGCCTTTCACTCCCCTCTGGGCTCGGGATCCACACCCAGCCCAGATCTGGAGTATCTAAACTTGGTACCTGGCTAAGACTTGCTGGAACCACAGGGAATGGGAACCCAGCCTGTGGGAAGTGCCCCTGGCATGAAGGGGTGATGGCCCCAGTGATCATGGGAGGACACAGGCATGCAGCCATGGCCCCAGAACATGGACCACCACATGGAGCAGGGCTGGATCCACACCTCTGAACCCAGCAGGAACAGGAGCTTAACCATCCACAGGAATGGGACTCAGCCCAGGCACAGTCACAGCAATCCAGGCAGTGGCACAGGAGGGACTGGCTGTGCCCATCTCCAGCTCTGGGGAATGTCTGGTTGAGGCTGACTCAGCACCCACCCTGCAAACACCAGCAGCCTCGGCAGCCAGAGCCCCTGGGGGTTTGGTACTGATCCCTGGCTCTTGGGGTGGCACTGAGACATTTACACCAAAGCAACTATTTCTACTCCTTTTCACTCCCTTTGAGTGCTCCACACTTGGCTGCAGTGCTCTCAGGTATCTAATTCCCTGGATAGGATTTCCTAATCCCTACACAACTTTTCTGTTCAGATTCTGCATTTAACATGACCCTACCAGCACTTCTCACACACAGGTTCTACTCGAGTGACTGGCACTAGTTCAAGCCCTGGATTAAAGTATTTCCTGCCCCGTAGGGATCTGGTCATGAGCAGAAATCTGCTGAAGAGCTTCATCTGCTTGCTGAGAAGTTTCACCATCCATGGCAGAGTCAAGATCTCCATGAAGGCAGAAGCTGGCCTGGTTGGGATCTGGTCAATGGATGCTCCTATTTGGTTTCTCTTTCTGGCTTCAAGATTAGGAGGTTTCTGCTGAGGAGCAGAACATGCAGCACTCCTGGTTTTAGGGTTTGCTGTTTGACAGCTATTTGTGACACAGGAGCTGCTGTGGGTTATGTTTCTTGTTCCCAGTGCACTGTGGAGAGTATTAATTATAGAGATGTACAGAAAGCTCAAAAACCATGCATGTAACTGAATTACTGC